TTATTGAAACAAGTTTTTGGGATTTATTGAGGGAGAAATACAAAAAAAAATTTTTTTTTTTTTTTTTTTTTTTTTTTTTTTTTTAACAAGCATCTTTTCTTTTTCTTTTTGCTTAACAGTAGTAGTCTTTTTTTTCTTAATTATGAAAGGTTAAGGTGGTCGTTAATGGTCAGGTTAATTAAATCTGTCCTTTACATAAGTCTGCTGGCTTACAGAGAGTATCACCTGTAATGACTGTAAACACTTTTGATTTATTTTGGGATGTAAAGTTTGACTCGAGATGTTTATTCTTCACATTGAGAATTTATATTTGATAGCTATTCACTTTGCCATCATAGAAGGTACTTCGAAAACTCTGTTGATCAGCCGTGAATGATATAGTTTGATATGTACAGATGACAGGCTGCACACTACTCAGGTGGGGTGATGGATCTGATGTCTCTAAATGTGCCTTATCTGGCGTCAGTAATCTGGAGTTCTTCAGTGGGCAGTGCTCTGAACACAGGGCATTTGTTTCTCTTTAAGAAGTCTGCACACTACTTAGCGGCCTTATGATGATTTAATAAAACAAATGTTAATGTACTACATGTCTCTTGTGTTTTGTAACTGGTGTGTTTTTAGAGATTTGTGCAATTCTTATAGCAGCTGATTGATTTTGTAATTACAGCCAGTTACAGGATGATTAAACTGCTGCCATAAAACTCTTTACAGCCCTTCAGAAATAAAATAAGTACAATTACAAATTACCAAATTACAAAGAAATACAATTACAAATTACCTTTTAATTTCTGTAAGTTTGTGTATATCTGATTGTTTATATCAGCTTAATATGTCATCTGCTTTTTAGATATCATATCGGTAATATTTAGAAGACCCATATCGGTTTACATTCATAAATGTATTTTGAAACCTTATTGTAATGTGTAACCATTTAACAGTTAAAAAGAGCTAACTGTTTTCCTCAACATTTATTCCTCTCAAAGGAGCAGTTCACCCGAAAACTTTTATTTGCTGGAAATTGACACCCTCAGGCCATTCAAGATTAATTAATTTCTCCAAATCCGTTCCGATGAAAAAACCTAGCATCACATCACTTGCTCACCAATGGATCCTCTGAATTGAATGGGTGCCGTCAGAATGAGAGTCCTGTCACAGTAATCCACAAGCAATTAACACGACTCCAGTCCATCAGTTAACACATTGTGAAGCAAAAAGCTGTGCTTTTGTAACAATCAAATCCATTAAGACATTTTTGACTTCAAACCATTCCTTCTGACTGAAATGCTGTATGAGTGCATAATCCATAATAATGCTTTCTCCAGTGGAAAAAGTTGTCTGGTCTGAATCGGGAGAGAAACGTACAGATTGAGCAGTGTACAACCGAAATACAAAACATTTCTATATATAAAACAGAACTATCTTTTTTGTATCTCAAGTAAATGTAGACATTTGATATAATTTAGATATTTGTACTGGAAAACAAGACAAAAATACAGATATTCTTTGTGTAATGGCAAATTAAGAAGACTTTTTCAAGACCTGCATAAATAATCTTTAAATCGATCTTTAAACTTAAACGCTGATAGTCATTCTACATGGAGGTTGAATGTACTTTGTGTTTGAGGTACATTTAAGATTTTTCACATTTCTAAACAAATAGGTTGATGGATTTTGATGTGAGAGGACAACAATGAAATGGACTTGGCTAAATTTCTCAATCTCTTCTGATGAAAAAACAAGGGCACTGGATGGCCTGAGGGTGAGTCAAATTTCAGCAAATCTTCATTTTGGGGTGATTTGTTCCTTTAAGATAAATAAATGCTGTTTTATTTTTGGGGGAACTATTTTCTTTAATGCAATAGCTAATATTAACAATTGAGACCCTATATGAGATCTAATACCTACATTTTAATGAACATTTCAAATGTTTCGTAAAAAAAAAAAAAAAACGGTCCGATCACAGTCTTTGGACCCTATTGACTTTCATCAAAATATTTTAATTTGTGTTCCACAGAATAATGTCGTACAGGCCTGGAAAAGCATGAGGGTGAGTAAATGACAAGAGTTTTCATTTTTGGGTGAACTGTCCCTTTAAAACAGTTGTGTAATTAACAAATAGATAAAAAACAAATAGCTGCCAGAATAATCAGACAATGACACATGTGTGCAAAGAATCTCTTTAATCTTTATTACTTGTTAAACATGACTTATATTAACCGATAAATACGAAAGAGGAAACAGCATGCAGCTGACAGATCGTTGCTGCTATCTTGCACAACACAAGTTAAGGCATTGAAAATCTCCTGACACTGCTGTACCTGGTGTAACAATGATCACAAGAAACCCGGCCGACATCACTACTACTTCACCAAAGCGTACGGTTAATAGGTTGTTTGTCTGATAATAGCGTCATCTACTCGTGCTCACCAGCAGTAAGTCTCTCAGTGTCCGTTTCGGTTTTCACATATGGCTTGATCCACATATACACTCTAATCCGCCTCAGTGTTTCATAAATTAAGGATGAGACAACGCTCTCATGTAACAGCTCAATGATCTATAGCAGTGGTTCCCAACCCTGGTCCTAGAGGCACCCCAACACTGCACATGTTGCACGTCTCCTTTCTCTGACACACCAATTTCAGGTCTTGGAGTCTCTACTAATGAGCTGATGACCTAAATCAGGTGTGTTTGATTAAGAAGACATGCAAAATGTGCAGTGTTGGGGTGCCTCCAGGACCAGGGTTGGGAACCACTGATCTATAGGTTCCTGGTGGATCCTGTGCGTATATCTTGATCAAGTGTTTTTGATACATCCCTAGTGCTTTGCGATGATCGCCAGGATCTTTTTACAAAAAATATTTTACCGCAAATACAAATCATATCAAATTGACTGTAATTAGCAATTATCATACATAAAAAAAGAGAAACTATTCTGAATGAAGTGTGACGTGTAACATGGGATGTAGACACTAGGATGGGATTCAAGGGTATCAAAAAAACAAGTCACTCAGGAAGTATGAAATTCTGTACAACCCCAAGATTGCATATGTCGTCTCATCTCTTCTGTATCTTCATGTCTCTCTCCTAGCCTTCTTCTTTTTGACTGGTTGTTTCGAAGACTCCTTGCCGTCATCCGTTTTTTCTGGCGGAGAAAAGACAGAAACCTGAAATCAGGGTTTCTGCAGGTTTTATGCAGGTTTCAAGACCACGTAAAGCATATTTAAATAACTTTTCCTGTACCTACTGATCACACTGCAAAAGAGTGATGTTCCATATTACTATTTTGGTCTTGTTTTCCAGTACAAATGTCTGAAGATTCATAAATCGAGATACATTTACTTGAGATGCAAAATGGCATGGGATAAGAAGTCTTGTTTTCTGAGAAATTTATCAAAATGAAGTGTATGATTAAAATGACAACAGTTCTGCTAATGGGGTCAGAAAAAAAATCTACTTAATTTAAAAGGGGAAAAAACTATACCCCACTGGCTGAAAACAAGACTTTGTATCTTCATTTTAAATGTATCTTGAAATAGGGATGTTTAGATAATTGGATTGGAAAACAAGCCAAAACATTTTTGAAATGCATGCAACATTTAATACCATGATGCCTTTATGAATTT